AGATGATAGGACCTTCATTAAAAATTATACAAGATTCTAGCTGCACGGTGTCGTATTGTGGTTCGGCTACTATACGAAAATAATATAATTATGTACTTAATACATAATTTACTAAGTAACATGGTGAGAGCCATATTAATAGATTTTAGTTGATTATAGAATATAATTTGATTATTACCTTGAAAAGAGGTTATTTAAAAAGATTACTATAGAATTTGTATAACTTTAATTTCTTTTGATAGTGACTTTTAAGATTGGTTTTGATTGATAGTAACTTCTAAATATTTAGAGTCACCTTTGTTAGACATTGGTGACATTTGAGTAATTAGGGCACCAATATAGATGAATGGAGATGAATGATGAAAATCTCAATTCCTATTAGTCAAATATCAGGACCTATAGGCTTTGAAGAGGCTGCTCGTGGCCATATTAGAAATTAGAGTTATTTTTTGTAGAAACATTTGAGCTTTGAAGGCTAGGGCCAACAAGTTCAGATTTTTGGCTATGGATTTGGTACAAATCTTGTATGATTTGGAGTTTATATGAAGGAGATGTAGGCGTTCAAAGTTAAGGTATTGATTTAGGAGCTACTGTCACTATTTTTGACATAATACATCCGTACAGATGGTAATTGAAGATCGATGATTGCGACTAGAGAGAGAACTTTTCCGGCTACACTTTATATATACTTTTTGCTGGATTCTAAGTCGAAATGATGGAGTTATTGGATTTTGAAGTCAGCTCATGCAATCTAAGGATAGTAAGTGACCCAATTTACTAGTAGTTGTGTCTTGAGCTATATCTTGAGCAATTTGACAAGGTTTTGGTTCAAAATTTCAAAAAATATGTAATTTCATGTTAGTAAATTTTTTACATAAGAGTGATGATATTTGAATATTGGATTCTTGAGATATTAAGAAAATAGTGCTCAGGTGCTTGTAAGTTAGGGTTTAGAGCATCTGCTAGGGTTTCTCAGGTACTAGAAGATTAGAAGTGAATTTGCGATTGTTTTTTTTTTTTTTTTTTTTTTTTTTTTTTTTTTTTTTTATAGAATTTAAGGATGATTTCTACCTATCCTATAAATTTGAAATAAATTGAATGGCTAGATCAAGAGTTATGAATTTCTAAAGTTCAAAAAGAGAAAATCTTTCGCAGAAAAAATATGTTTTGAAGGAATTTTGTTATATTTTGAGTTTTATGCAAATCAAAGGAGTTTTGGAAGCTAAGACAAGATTCATATAAAGGTTTATGCTAAACTCTCTATAGCTAGATATCTAATGTATTTCCAGATAGCAAATCATGCTATACAACAACAGTCCCTATTGTAGTTGGACAAATTCATTTTTTAACATATTATCTTCTTTGACAAATGTGCTCCTCATTTTGTAATTTTGTCGCTTCTTTTGACAATGTTGAGCAATGTATTTAGGTTCTCCACAATATAAGCACAATCCTTCTTAACAAGGGCCAATCTTTTCTTACTCAGTAAGAAGTTTAAAACGTAGCGCATCAATTTGCATATCCTTTATTTATGAATGTGTTGACAAGATGTTGGTGTTGCCATCTAATTGTAGTAATATTAAGATCCATTTGTGCAACTCTTAGATCAAAATTCAAAAAGTTGATTGTCACATTTTACAACAAAGTCAATTGCTTGACTCAATGTTTGAGGATGAGGTAAGTTGAGCATCAATTTTTTTACTTTATATTGTAATCTATAGAAAAATTGGCTAATAAGTTCAGCATCATCCCACTTGATATCAATTGTAAGTTGTTGAAACCGTGAAGCATATAATGTTACAAATTGATTGTCTTGTCACAAAATATGGATCTTGTTGGTTGCAACATAAGTTGTATCATGTTTTCTATACATGGACCAGAATTCTACCAAAAATACCTCCAGATTATCCAATATTAGATCTTATCATTCAAGAAAAGATGAAAACCATGATAGTAGTGAACTTGAAAGAAATGTACTAATGAATTTAACTTGTGATCTTGGAGTTGGATAGATTTGAGGTTGAAGTTCAATCACGAGTTGTACTTGATTGACAAATCCTTAAAATTTGGATCTTGTATTATCAAACTTCTCGGACAAAGTAACTTTTGGTTCTCTAACACTTGAAGGATGTTCGACCATGGATGGAGGGACATGATTTGGTGCAAATATTGAAGTAGCTCTAATCATCTCTATATCATCAATTCTCGCCATTCTTGTTGATCCTTGTGGCGGTAAACTAAGTTGATGCATCACAAGCTTCAACTCTCTCAATTGGTCTTCTATTTGTGCCATTGTACTCTTCATTTCAACAAGCTTTGCCATAATAACACTCAAAAAAATATCTAATATCACTCAAGACAAGTAGAAGAAAGGACTTGAGCACAGAAAAAATACTAAGAATAATATCAATTTAGAAGAGGGTAATCCGCAACTTCTAATATGCTTATGTCTTATCATGAGAAAGGCATAATTCACTCTTAATTAAGACTAGACAAAGCTTTGATATTGTAAGTGCATTCTTGTCAATCTATCAAGGACATGAACCAATCTATCAAGGATATCATTTAGCTCATGTTGTTGACACATTGACAAGAATACACTTACAATATCAAAGCTTTGTCTTATCTTGATTAAGAGTGAATTATGCCTTTCTCATGATAAGACATAAGCATATTAGAAGTTGCAAATTACCTTCTTCTAAACTGATATTATTCTTAATATTTTCTTTGTCTTTAGGCCCTTTCTTCTACTTGTTTTGAGTCGTATTAGATATTTTTTTGAGTGTTATCATAAACCAATGAAATCTGTTTCAAAGAAAGAGTAACAAAATAGAAATAAGGAAGTACATATATTAAAAAGAAATTGGAATGGCTTATTGTCAAAAGACAAGAAAACTTAAGACTCTTAAAACTAGATTAGAAGTAAGAAAGATATTGACAAGAATGAAGAGGGCTTCATTCTTGCCTTTATATATACTATCTAATTAGAAGTTATGTGGCAATATTGTATAGGAACTCCTATATGTGTTGACTTTGTAGGACATATGCCTTGACTTACAAGGCAAGTTTTTCTATGTGTCAACCACATAGTTAGCTAAGTCTTCAAGCTAATAATATGTGTGGCACATAGCCAACTTGTTGACCACTTTTCTAATCCAAAAAGTCAATTATAGACACTTATAAAAATAAAACAGTGTCTATGAAGCTTCTATAGAAGATATTATAGAATTAACTTACTTTTATCTACTTCAACTTACTTCTACCTATTTATACAAGTAATTATTAGCTTATATGTGTATGTCCGTGACACTTCCTTGCTTAGAATTTCAAATTGAATTATTTACAATTCTTGCATTTAATTTTTCACTCCCAATAGCAACTCCAAGTATATGTACAACATTCAAATGTATATCCTTGCCTCACACAATGCCAAAAATACCACCAAATATCTGTTCAAATTATATTCCAACAATTTCTTTTACTTTTTTTAATACTCAGATGATAAAAAAAAAAAAATAGACTATCATCATTGAAATTGTAAGAAGATACAACTTTCTAAAATAATGTGACAAAGATAGAGCATAATTTTTGAAAAATATCAATTGAAAGTGGATAAAATAGTATTAGATTGACAAAGATAAGAACTTGATGAAGGCAAATAAATAAGTAAGACTTTTTTTGAAGAAAGACAAAATAATAGAAATAAGTAAATATGTATATTAAAAAAGAAACAAAAATGGTTATTACCAAAAGACAAGAAAATATGAGACTCTTGAAACTAAACTACAAGCAAGAAAAGAATTGAAAAGAATGAAGAAGTCTTTATTCTTACCTTAATATATACTATCTAATTAGGAGCTACATGGCAACATTTGGTAGGACCTCCAACACATGTCTAACTTACAAAATATGTAGCTTAACTTGCAAGACAAGTTTTCTATATGTAAGCCACATAATTAACTTGTACCATAAACTACCAATACATGCGACATATAGCTAACTTCTTATTTAAGTCTCTAATCTACCAATCAACTATAAATATGTGTAAAGTCAAAGTTACATCTACAAAATATTATTAAATTTATTTACTTTAAACTACTTCTATATGTGCATATTTTTAGATAATTATTGGAATAAATATGTATATTTATAATATAAATTCTATCTAAAACTACCTCCAAAGTTTCTTTTAATTAATAACATAATAACAATCAATTTAAACATAATAAAGATTAAATTAAAAATTTATGAATATAAATATTTATTTAATTTTTCACTTTTAATCTATTGATTATAAATCTTTAAGAAAAAAAGTCTTCACACTAAATAAACTCAAAACAACATTCATCAAAAATATCAATTACTACTTTTTCTTTCATCAAAATTAAGTTTTTCAATGAACTTTATCTACAAAACTTACTTCTTTGGACATCCACAATTGTACACATTGAGATTCTAATATGTTTAGTATATACAACTAAACAATAGAAATCATTGTCATATTAATGCTATATGCATTAGATTCTAATTACACAATTCTAGAACTGCAGTAAAAAAACCATATGCAGATACTTGACTTCAGCACAAACAATCTCTAGACTCTAAATATTTCTTTGTGATGCCTTCAACCTCACAAACTCATTCCAAAGCTTACATTCATTTGAGGCTCTTTCAAATAGATTAGGGTTAGAACCAATGTTTATTCACACATAGTTGGAGTTCATCAGCCGCATTTCATTTCTTATTGATCGAGAAGTGTAGATCGATACTTTCCAGTGCATTTGTAGAGATTTCAGTGAAGTTTGTGGCGCTTAGATTGGTGCACACAAAGCTGATTGCTATTCGCAGTAGAGTGACTTTGTCATAATCCATAATAGTTTCTCGCCATTTAGCATGTTAAATTCCATACTTGAATTGCCTTCACAGCCGAAAACATGACCTTCAAAGTCGAGTAAACATTCATGTAACTTGTGAGATGTGGGATTACGAAGATACAAATATGAAGCAAAAAGGAAATCCTCTTTATTGAGAAGTGACCAAATTGCAAAGAGAGTACCGTTGCTTTTCACTTCGACAAGCAATGGAGGCATGAAACATTAAACATAATCTGGGAAAAACTGGTGCAGAATGAGAGCAGCGTTGCAAACGAGGAGCCCGATGAGAGCAAGCCAATGGAATCCTCCTCCACTGCTATACCTCGCGGACGCTGTACCAGTAGAATAGCCTCTAAAGTATTGGAGCCTTGCCACGGTGTAGACAGCTCCAAATATTGCCGCAACAATAGGATACTGTAAACCGCCAAGGAGAAGCATTACCATGAAGGTGGGCATGAATTCCAGGCTGTTCTGATGACCTCTCTGCACACAGTTAAACACTTTGGCGTCCTTGTTCTCACTCTCCAAGGCGTACATGATTGGGTAGTACACTTTGTATTTCTTGCGAGCCTTTCCAACCTGCAATTTCACATTCAAGTGTAACCATATGGCCTTCAATCAAACTCATCTATTCAATAAGGTCTGCAATGCAATGATCCATCATATAAGCCAGGAAGTGAAGACAAGAGCCATTTGCATTCCTCTAATTGGTGGAACGTGTAGCAGAGCGTTAAGGGGTCCAGATTTCTTCAAAGAAATTGAACAAACACAAAACAAAACAAAAATCTCCTCAGTTAGGGTTTAGGGCTAGTCCATGCTTGTCATCAGAGAGTGCGTGATTGTCCGCCTCAAGTTCTTGGGTGTGAATTTAGTGTCAGTGCGTTACCTGGCCGGCCATCCACATCATCAGGAAAATATTAGCGAGGAGCGAGACAAGCACCCAACCATAGCCCGCAACCATCTGCACTGCCATGGCTCCTGACAGCTTCGCAGAAACAAAATCTGTCAACAGAACTGTAGATTAGCGACAATAAACCCAAAACCCATTAGTCCGATTTGCAAGATGAACTTGCACAACGCACCGACAATCTGAAGCGAACCCTACTTGATGGAGCAAATGCAGAAATGATGTAGAAATTGTACTCACAAAAACGATCGGGAACTGTGACAGCTTGTGCGAGCTCAAAGTAACCTAATAACAATCATCGGTACCCTGGGCAGCGGAGAGTAATCTAGAGTGCGGCTGATGAACAGAAATGCCGATTTAGTCGAAAGCAATTGAATGTGCGAGACAAGTTTTCCAAGGCTACAGTGCCCTGAGTTAGATCAATATCAATTCAGAATCTTTATCTATCCACGCGTGCAATATTTTCCGAAATTTAAGCCGAATGATCGACGATGCGTGTAACCTACGTAATTAACTGCAACAAAATGGCAAGTATCTTTCGATGAGAATATGACTTTCATAACCATCAGCTATGCACTCCGCTTTGAATAATCTGCACCTAGACTGGCATGGGCGGTTCACAAGTTGGAGGAACCTGGGTTGCTCCGGATATGCAAGAAGTTTGTGTTTCATATTTTGACATTACACAACCAACTTCTTTAGTAAAGTTTGTGTAGGTGTTTTCTATTTAGGTTTAGTGTTTTACCCATGTGTTCCTCATTCTTGCTACTTTTCAGTGGCAACTTAGTTCCTCTTGTTCCTCATTCTTGCTACTTTTCACTGGCAACTTAGTTGGCATGTTTGATATAGCATACATTGATTATGTAAAACATCTGTTTATGATATTGTTAGAAGCTTTTGTGATATTAAGTATAACATTTTGATGTTGAGTAATTCATTTATTCAAGAGAACTTGTATTTAAATCATTTGGTTCTACTTGTTAGAATGTGGCTAAAATAAAAATATATACTTGTAATGGTATTGATATTTTGTTTTTAATGATTCTTAAGAATTTAATATATAAAACTATAAGAACTATTGTTTTTACAACTCACTATTGTTTGATATTGTGGTAAGTTTTTTCTATAGACTAGTAAAATATATAATCTATACATTGCAATCAAAATTTATGATATTAATTTATTATCACTAGACATTAGATAAAATTATGATAAAAATATGAACCTAGATATTATTTGATTTTTAAAACATTTTAATATTTATTCTTTATAATAAATTTGAGGCAAATATATTTCTTTTACATGTTTTAGACTAGAAATCAAATTAGATATATCCTTATGTGTATATATATATATATATATATATATATATATATATATAATTTCTATATTTATATATAATAATGATTTTTTATATAAAAAATATTATTATTCTAACAATGTTAATTTCTAAATTTAACCTTCATTACATTACAATATATCCAAAACTAAATAAAGAAGCATCAAATACTTGTATTATAAAAGGACAAAATTATTAATTGAATAAAAACAAAATTGTAAAAAGCCTCAAACATTCAAAAAAGATATTAAGTGATCTGAACGCCATATTTAATTAATTGTTAAGAATTGAATTTAACTAACTCCCTTTTGAAGTCAATAGTTTATTGATATAATATTGATGTTGTAGGCAAAACCTGTTAAAACAATTGTTGTCACAGACATACGCATATAAGCCAGTAATTACATGTATAAATAGATAGAAGTAAGTAAACGTAGGTAAAAGTAAGTTAATTCTATAATATTTGCAATGAAAGCTTTCTAGAAGCTTCATAGACACTGCTTTGACTTTATAGGTGTCTTTAATTGACTTTTTGGATTAGAAACGTGGTCAACAAGTTGGCCATCTATCACATATGTTATTAGCTTGAAGATCAAGCTAACTATGTGGCCCACATGTAGAAAAACTTGCCTTGTAAGTCAAGGCATGTATCCTACAAAGTTAATTCATATTGGAGGTTCTATAGAACATTGCCACGTAGCCCTTACTTAGATAGTATATATAGTGACAAGAGTGAAGCCATTTTCACTCTTATCAACTCTTTTCTTGCTTCTAGTCTAGTTTCAAGGGTCTCTAGTTTTCTTGTCTTTTGGTAATTGCCATTCTAATTTCTTTCTTAATATATATATTGAATTATTTCTATTTTGTCATCTTTCTTTGAGAATAGTCTCACTTGTTTATTTGTTTTTATCAAGTTCTTGTCCTTGACACATTGACAAGAGTCCACTTACAATATCAGAGCTTTGTCTAATCTTGATTAAGAGTGGATTATCCCTTTCTCTTGATAAGACATAAGTGTATTAGAATTTGCGGATTACCTTCTTCTAAATTGATATTGTCCTTAGTATTTTCTTTGTTCTCAAGTCTTCTCTTCTATTTGTCTTGAGCAATATTAGACATCTTTTTTTTTAAGTGTTATCATGGCAGAACTTGCTGAAATGAAGAGTACAATGGCACAAATGTAAGAGCAATTGAGAGAGTTAATGCTTGCAATGCATCAACTCAATTTATCACAAAAAGAGCAACAAGATTTGTAAGAAGTGAAGATATAAGAATGATTGGAACTGCTTCAACATTTGTACCAGATCATGTCCTTTTTCTTATGGTGGAATATCCTTCTAATTTTAGAAAATTTAGAATTATCCTATTCGAGAAGTTTGATGGCATTAGATCAAAGTTTAGAGGATTTATCAATCAAGTACAATTTGTAATTGAACTTCAATTCCAAAGCTATCCAACTTTAGAATCGCAAGTTAGATTCATTGGTACGCTTCTTTCAAGTTCAATATTATCATGGTTTTCATCTCTTCTTGAACAACGAGATCCAATATTGGATAATCCCAAGGCTTTTTTGGCGGAGTTTTGATCCATGTATAGAGAACATGATGCAATTCGTGTTGCAACCAACAAGATCCATATTTTGCGATGAGGTAATTGATTAGTAATATTATATGCTTTACAGTTTTGACAACTTGTAACTGATATGAAGTCGGATGATGTTGCTTTTATTAACCAATTTCTCTACGGATTATAATATGAGGTAAAAAAATTAATGCTTAACTTATCTGATCCTCAAGCATTGAGTCAAGCAATTGACTTTGCTGTGAAGTGCGACAATCGTCTTTTTGAATTTCAATTTAAGAATCGTACAAGTGGACCTCAACGTTACTATAATTCAATGGCAACACCAACATCTCTTCAACACATACATTTGAAAGAAGAGGATATACAAATTGATGCGATACGTTTCAAACCTCTTACTAAGCAAGAAAAGACTTGTCGCCGTTAAGAAGGATTGTGCTTATATTATAGAGAACTTAAGCACACTGCTCAACATTGTCCAAAGAAGCGACACAACCATAAACTGAGGAGTACATCGATCAAAGTAGATAGCATGTCGGAAAATGAATTTATCCAGCTACAATAGGGACCGTGTAGTTGGAACCTTGTACAATACCTAGTGAAGGTCTTATTCTCTCTTCAGAACCCTCTCTATGTTTTACGATAAATGTTATTTTAGGACCTAAACATCACAAAGCCTCTACATTGCTAGATTCAGGAGCCTCAGCATGTTTCTTAGATGAAGAATTTGTCAAAAGACAAAGCATATTTTTAATGAAGAAAACTAAAATCGTTCATGTAGAAGTCATAGATGGTCGTTTGTTGTCTTCAGGAGATGTTACTCATGAAATCCTTCATATAGAATTGGCAATTAATGATCATAGTAGCTTTGTAATATTTAATATCATTAGATCTCTCTCTAATCCAGTCATTTTAGGTTTATCATGGCTAGAAAAATATAATCCTAAAATAGATTGGACTTCTCATAGTCTTGATTTTTTTGAAAATATAACTAAGAGCATAGTTAATCAAGTAGAAAGTCATAAGTCTAGTAGAATTAAACCTATATTTGTAGGTACAAGAACTTTCTTGCATGTTGCAAAAGAAAGATTACCTTGTGTCATTTGTGCTACACGTCTTTCTATTAGTGGAAAGTCTTCAAGTAGCATTCCAAACCAATATCAAGATTTTCAAGATGTATTTGAGAAGAAAAATGTCGATACTCTTCGGAAACATTGTTCCTATGATAGCTCAATTGACCTTTAAGAAGGAGCACAAATGCCATTTGGACCAATGTATAATTTATTACAAAATGAGTTGCTAAAATCAAGGAGTATATTGAAGAGAATTTGGCCAAGAACTTCATACGCCATTCCAAATCTCCAACAAGAGTTTCAATCTTATTTGTGATGAGAAAAGATGAATCATTGCAGATGTGTGTTGATTATCGAGGACTCAACAAAATCACCATCAAAAATAGGTACTCACTACTTTTCATATCTGGAATCCTTGATCAGTTGAATTAAGCTAAGATCTATACAAAAATAGATCTACGAGGTGTATACAATCTAGTACGCATTAAAGAAGGAGATGAATAGAAGACTGCGTTACCAATAAGATATGGACATTTTGAATACAATTTCATGCCTTTTGGACTTATAAATGCATCAACAACATTCCAACATCTAATGAATGATGTCTTTCATGAGTTTTTAGATGATTTTGTTATCTGTTACCTAGACAACATCTTAATCTATTTTAAGAACATAGAAGATTATGAACTTTATGTTCGTTGTGTGTTACAAAAACTAAGAGATGCGAGACTCTATGCCAAGATAGAAAAGTGTATATTTTACACTACTCAAGTCAACTTCTTAAGATACATCATTTCAAATGATGGACTTATGATGGATCCTAAGAAAATTCAAACTATTATGGATTAAAAGATCTCAAAAATGATAAGAGATGTCCAATGCTTTTACGGATTTACTAACTATTATTGGACCTTCATCAAAGACTTCTCTTAAGTTACAACTCCACTTACACGTTTGACTTGTAAAGACAAACTTCAATAGAATTAAGAAGCTAAAGTAGCATTTGAAGCTTTGAAGCCAGTCTTTGTTTCTACACCAATCTTATATTGCGTCCATTTTTCTGAGCCATTTTTTATGGAAACAAACTCATCACACTTTACTTTGGGTGATATATTGTCACCAATAGGAACAGATGATAAACTCCATCCAATAGCTTTTCATTCCAAATTTTTTTTAAAAGTCGAGATCAACTATGAGATCTACGACAAAGAACTTCTTGCAATCATGGATTTATTTCAAGAATGGTTCCATTATCTAGAAGGTGCTTCTACCTCAATCATCGTGTATATGATTCATAAGAATCTTGAATATTTTATGTTAATACGTATTTTGAATCATTACCAAATCTGTTAGAGTATGTCTTTGTCAAATTTTGAATTTAAGATCACTTATCGACTAGAAAAACAACAAGGTTTGTTAGATGCATTCTTTAGACAATCTTACCTTGCATCAAAGGAAAGAGGTGCTACTTTTGATCAATAACAAAAAATTCTCTTGAAGCCAAAGCG